AAGAAAGCATTTAAGGGAAATACATTTAGTAAATGTGATAAAATAAGTTTGGTTGGTGGATATGGTGCATTTGGTAAAGGAGCTACAGCATTAAAATAATTAACACTTCCACCTCATTATAAATTAAAGATCAATATATAGTTATGGAAGTAATATTATTAAATAATTAAAATAATAGAATAGATAGTTGGGATAATGAAATAATGTATGTATTAGTTGATGGTTTCATATGGCAAGCAAAATGGCATTATTCTGAAGGAGCAAATTTATGTGGAGCAGCAAATGATTGGAAAGAAGCTTTTTATAATATAGAATTTGAGGTTCCACATAATTCACCAACAGTTAGCATAGTATTGACATCAAATTTAGATGAAGATGCATTGAATGTATAAATATTAATTTATAAATTATAATAGGAATCATGGGCATTTAGAGATTTCAAATTATCATTTTAGAGATGTCATCCAGAATGTTCAGTATGTAGTGATAATAAACCAGATAATTGTTTCTTTTGGACAAATGTAGCTACTAATTGGAATAAATAAATATCATTAGAAGGTTGGACTCTAGATGGAGAAGGAAAAGCAGAATCAAATGAATGTGCAGGAGTATAACTTTTTGGTGGATATGGTAAATTAGGTAGAAAAGCTAATTTATGGAAAAGATTTACAAATTTACCTCCTCATTATTAAGTGAAAGTGAAAGTTTAAATGTGGAAAATAGATTCTTGGGATAATGAATTATTTTTAATGGAAATTGATGATTAAGAGAAATTTAGATAAGCTTTTGCTTATAATGAAGGAGTAGATCTTTGTGGTGTTGATACAGGTGCAAAATAAGGTGAAGGATGGGCTGAAAAGATTGTTAATATTGAAATTAATGTTCCACATAAATTCCCTGAAGTTAAAGTGTTAATGAAATCAACTTTAGATGAACCACCTGAAAATGAATCATGGGGTGTAAGAGATTTCTAATTGTTTGCTGCTTAATGTTTCAAAGGTTGTTCAGGTTGTACTGGACCTGCTAAATCTGATTGTACATCATGTGGTTAAGGATTTGATTTAATTAATGGAGAATGTAAAGAAGGAAGTAATTTAATTTAATATTTTAATTAGTTAAATGGATGACTTTAAATAGATTCTTCTTTAATGATGAATAAGATTTCTAAGGATTATATGATTGGGTTCCATCTAATGTATTCTAAAATTAAAATGCATTTTCTACATGTGGAGAAAAGAAACTATTTGGTGGTTATTAAAGATTTGGTCTTAAAGCTAAAGCTGAAAGAAATTTCAATCTTCCAAAACATTCTAGACTTAGAATTTAATTCTAATTTTGGAAGATTGATTCATGGGATGATGAAAAATTCTAACTTTTCCTTGATGGTAAAGTAGTCTTTGAAAGATCTTTTGGATTCAGTACTCCAGGTTAAGCCAAAATTTGTGGAGCTCCATAAAGTACTTGGATGACTTACTTTTTCAATGTTGATGTTATTGTTGAACATACCAATCCTACTGCTAATATTGCTTTAACTTCTACTCTAGATTAAGCTGCTAATGATGAATCTTGGGGTTTCAGAGAATTCTAATTACTTTATGAATTAAAAGAAGATTGTGTTGAATTATATACTGAATGTGGATTCAAAGGAACTAAATTTGAAATCTGTAGAGATACTCCTTCACTTGCTAGAGTAATCATTTATTTCTATTTTAGGAAAAAGTCACTCAAGTTAAATCTATTAAAATTCCTCCTGGTGTGATTGTCTAAGGATTTGATGAAGAAGTTTATAAAGGAAAAACTGTTAAATTCTCATCAAGTTAAGATTGTTTAGAGGAAATCTAATTTTCTTTTATTCAAAAAAAGTTTGAAATTATTCAAGCTGATGATTCTGTTTTAGCTGCAAATTTAAGACGTATCAGATTTGATTGATTTAAAATAAATAACATTATTAGTATTAATAAAATTATAATCTATTAATTTATCTCTACTCTTTTTTCTAGAATTTAATTCAATCATAATACCTGACAAATTCTCTTTTAAATTCTTTTCTTATTAATTTGAAATTAAATTATAACTTAGAAATTTTATATTATTTTATTTACTACTTAAATTCAAATGCAAAATTTTTAAACCTCAAGTGAAATCAAGCTTGGCAATCAAGGGATAGATTTTTTATCCATGAATTATGATGCCTCTGAATTTATTATTCTTAGGCACACACTTTTAACCTATTATAGAAAAGTTGGGAAATCTTATAAAATTTAACAAGAAATGCATAATTTCATATCTAATTGGGATATTTATGATTTAATCTTACACCCTTATGAGAAATTTTTAGGAGTCATTCACAAAAGTAATTTCAAAGTATGTTACACAGGTCTTAGATTTTCTTAAAAAAAAAATAAATGGCTAATTTATTATAATTGTTAGCTACTTGATGTTGATAATTCACTCTTTTTTCCTTTAACTTTTCATTTAAATCCCATCTTAAATTTAATCAATACTACATGTAATTAAGCATTATTGGAGGATTAAATTGGACTTTTTCTACTTTAAGTTAGATAAAATACCAAAAAATTAAGAAAATATTAAATTTAAGGAGAAAGGATTAAGTATTTTGATCAAAAAAAACTAATCATATCAATATGTCATAAAAAAATATTTATTTATAAATACTATCATTTTTAACCTTTACATGTATACAATGCAAAATGTAACATTTTTGATATTATATTCAATGATTAAGGTTTGATATTTATATTTTGCTCCAGTGGTTTAATAATATGGGATTTAAATGTATAAAAAAGATAATAAACTATTCAATTAGATCCAATACTTAAGAATCTAAGTGATCAATTATAATTGTACTATTTATAAGGGGTGATAATTTTCTCAACAAATGATAAGACTTTTTATTAATTAACCTTAGATGGAAATAAAAATGAAAAACCAATTAAATTAACAAAAGAGTTTCCAAAATTTTTATCTAATTCAAAAGGAAACATTTTCTTTTTATTAGAGTATCATTAATCTACTGCAAAATCAAATAAATTAAGAGTATACGAATAACTATGAGTTTATAAATATTTATTTATATTTTAAATTATTCATGATACAAGTAGAATAGAGTGTAATAATAGATGAAGATAGAGTTAAAGAAATGATGGAGATTACTTAATGCTTAAAATAAATCCCAATTTTATTAGATCAGAATGTACAATAAAAAAAATATTTCTAAGCTTGTTATGATAAATTCTTGGAATTTAACTTTCTCAAATGATGAAAATGAATAAAAACCTAATAAAAACTAATCAATGTAAATTTATTATCAATAAAATTAGGGAAAACATTCATCAAAAATAGAAAAACCATCTTTATTATAATATGAAAAAAGATGGCTTTTTCAAAGAAATGATTTTATTAAATGATCTTAACTTTTATGATTTAGATTTTGTAAGGTTAAAATGTAATAGATTAATCTTAATTTAAGCTTAGCATTCGAATCTATATAATTAGATAAGCAATGTGAATTGACAGCCTTTAGTCAAAATCAAAGAAAAGGATTTTAAAATGTATGTTTTAATTTGTGAATCTAAGATTTAATCGAATGGATTAATGTCTAACCAAATATTTAATAGCAAGTTTCAACAAAGTGTATTAACTGGTCCTCATAGTTCCAGAAATTTTGAATCCAAAGATCAAACTAATTTTTTCATATCAAGTGAACCTTAACTAGAAGAAAAAAGTAATAAATGGCTTCATAAATATCCGTCTTATATTATTTAGAAAACTGAAAATGTAGAAAAAAGTGAATTTCCAACACTCTTTAAGAATTATTCTTAAATTGGAAAAAATACTAATGATATTAGTTATGAAGATTAATAAATTAAATAAGAATTTTAAACATTAATTAATATAAATAAACTGTCTAAAGAAAATTAATAAAAAAATTCATTCGATAGTTCTATTAATAAAAGAAATAATTAATAAAAATAATCTTTATGTAAATAAAATGAGAATTAATAAACAAAATAAAATGAAAATTAATAAACAAAATAAAAGGGAAGAAGACCAAGTTCGCCTAAATTTAAATTTGTAGTTAAAAATAAAAAATAAACTAAAAATTCAGGTTAACATATAAAGTTAACTTTTGAAAAAGGATAAAAGGTATTTGAAACCTCGTTCTAAAGATTAAATAAAGAAACATCTAAAAGTGTAGATTAACTTAAAATAAATGATCACTTTTTAAAATTGCAAAATGAATATTAAAGAGAATTATACTCAAAACCATTTGAGAATACTAAATATTCTGAAATATCAAAATTATTTAGTCGTTAAACTCCAGAAAGTCCAACTTCCATTTTATACAAAAGAAAAATTAATAAATCAAAACAAAATAAATCATAAAATATTTTAAATTCTTCTAATAATCTTAGTAATAGATCTGATGATAAGTACTCTGCTTAAGAGTTTGATGATAACTTTGAAAATGATGAAGAATAGTTTATACATAAAGTTGATTTATACCAACTTTTAAAAGAAAAAAAAGGAAGTTCTATTAATCAGAATACAGATCAAAATTTTGAACATTTTGAAAGAAATACATTTTCATTTAAATAATAGCCAGATGCGTAAGCAAATAATTAATTAAAATAAGAGGATAGATTGTAAAATAATTAATTTTAAATTACATTTTCACCTCAATAAGAGAATTAAAGATTTTCACCAATCACCAATAATGATGAGAATTAAAAGTTAAATTATCAATTACAAAATAATAATTTTTAAAAGCATGAAAACTAATACATTAACAATTTAGAATAAAATTAATATTAATACTATGAATAAAAATAAATTTAGGTTCCAGGAACAAAAAAATAGCCAATTTAAATAAAACTTAATATATAATAATTTATGAATAATAATAATCAAGAAAAATAGAATAAAATTGACATCTCCTAGCATTCATCGAAAATTGGTAAGTAATTAATTATTATTTAGTCAATCAATCTAATCAATATAGCTAAAGTTTTCGAAAAATTAAAAAATGATTCTCCATATAAAATATATAATTATTATATCTATAGCATATAAATTTTAAAATGAATAAAATCACAAAAAATGTTTTGAGAAATCATTTATAATTTGCACTTCTTCTACATCTTCGTCATCAATTATAATAATATTTTATTCTTATTTCTATATTTATTTGTGTTTAGTTGAATTTTTAATTATATTTGGAAAAAATAACTAATTTTTCATTTACCAAGGGTTTGAATCATACTGACTAGAATCGTTTTTATTATCTTACAACAATTTTTAATTTTCGTTTTAAATTGTGATACCTGAATAGTTTTATTTTTTTTCATCGTGCAATCTTATATTTTCAAGAAAATCTAAGATTTCATTTTAATGTTGTGTTTATGCTTTTTTTTACTCTTCTATTTATGATAATTCAAATAAAGGTAGATTTTATTTGATTTAAATCTATTGAAATTAAGGTAATGTAACATTTTGTAATTGTTGTTCTTTTTTTTTATAATTAAGACTATTTTTTTATTTTCTAAACTTAATTTTAAATTATCTTTTTTTGATTCCAAATTTATTTGACACTATTTTTTTATTAAATTCTACACAATTTTAATTAGGTTAATAAATAATCTAAGAATCAATATACTTCGCTAATTTTGCTTAATCCCAAATAACACGAAATTACTCTGTATATAATTTTGCTGTTTTTGAATCTTTAAATATGGTTATATGCTCAAAATTATTTTAAAATGCTTAATAAGTCCAATTTGCACTACCTAAAATTGTAATTTTTTTATCAATTACACAAAATTTGGAATGCATTAAACCTTTATTTTCAATTAAAGAGATATTTATTTTGAATCCACTCATAACTAAAAGCATGTGAATTGTTGTTTTTTTTCTTTCATCTTGCTCATCTGAATTTTAATCCATAATTAAATCAACTCGACATCCTTAATTTGCTAATTAAACTAAAATTTCAATAATAGTTGAATGAGTCAACTAATAAATACAGCCCAAAATTGTAGATTTACATTTTTTTAATTTCTTCTAAAATCTAGAAAAGTTATCTTCATTTGGGAAAAACAAATGTTAAACTTCAATTTATGAATGTTTATGGCTCATTGATCTTTCTTAATGAATAATTTATAGAAATTATAATTCAATAATTTTGAAAAAAAGATTTTTATAATACTTTCATTTCCAAATTTTAACAAGAATTTAATTTAAATTATAAAATAATGCATATATTTATATAATACTTAATAAATTAATTTTTGAACAAGAAAGAAAAACTTAAAATGATTTTTTTAAAATGAAAAAGAATACAAAAATCATTTGATAAAACATAAAAAGAATTTCAAATTTTACTAAATTTATTTGGACTAAATAATTAAGCATTGTCACATATTTCAATTAATTATCTAAGTTTGCCTTTAAAGTCAGAAATAGATTTATTTTTGGAATTTTAAGAACTAGTTACTATTTTCTCTGGGGATATTGGACTTAAAATTAAAAGCTTTGTTTTTCTTACTTTTAAAAGGAAGATAATGGTTCTATTTTTGGCAAAGTGTAATCTGACATTGTAGTTTTAAGTTTTCTTTTCTCAGAAAATACAATGGAATTAGAAGGAATTTAATCGGAACTAAAATAATGAATTATGAATGTACGAAATTTGAGTTTTTAATTTTTATGATTTTCTTTATTCTTATCTTTGTATTTCTAAGATTTCACTCACATTATTAAGTTTAGAAACCTTCTATACTACATGATTATATTTATAACTCCATAATTCACATATCTGACTAATTCTTAAAACATACAATTACAATTTTTTAATATCAATTACATCTTCTTTTGGTTTTTAAAAGGATCTTTTAAATGGAATTTAACCAGATTTCAAAAGAATACTTTGTGGAATAATTTTTTAATTAGGACTCTCTTCTGCTTAGAGCTTTCTAAATCTTTTTTTATAAAAAGTCTTATAAGTTTCAACTCTATCTAATTAAGGGTTGTCATTTGTATTAAATGGATTAAACTTAGAAATCGTTAGCCTTTTAGACATTATTTTGTGATACAATATAATTTAATTTATCCAAATTATAAATTATATTAAACAAAAATAATTTATTATATTAAAATATATTTTTAGTGCATTCAATCATCTAAATTGATATGATTTGAATGAATAAAAAAAAAGTGTTCCTAAAACAAAATTTATTAATAATAATATAAAACTCATCTTTTACTATAGGAACTAATTTATATACTAAATTTATTTACTTGTATCTTAAAGTTCCTAAAGCAGCTTATTAAATAATCTAATTTTTTTTGTCCATTTTTTCTGATTTTTGTTTATTAAATGGTGGTTTAAGTATTTAATCAATTGTATTCTATTTTTTAAGTAAAGGTGTTTAATTGTAGCTGGTGCATTATGTAGTAATTTAAGGGGATAATTAAGAGAATCTTTTTAAACTAAAATAAATACTCAACAGGTATTTTTTTATCAGGAGCAAAACTTCTTGTTAAACCATATCTATCAACACTCATTTATTGACGAAGTTAACCTAACATAGTTTTTGGAATAGCAATAATTTCATATTCATTCATATCTAATTGATTAAAATCCTATTGCATTCGTAATTAAAATTAATTTGTTTATTTTTTTGGATCCTCTTAATAATAATGATGCTCTGTTTTAATATGATTTTATTTAATAATTTATTATCCAGCATTAGAAAACTTTTAAGCATAGTTTGTTGAATTTTTTTGATTTGGAGAAGTTTAAATATTGGTGAAAATATGAGATTTAGTTTCCCTTATACCTTCAGTGTTGAGACTAAGTTTTTGAAGGGTTGGAGAGATTTCATCATTTGAAGCAAAGTATTAATTATTCTTTGCAATAGGAATTGAAGGTTTGTTTACCATTCCTATTACTCCTTCTTTATTCATCACAGTCATCTTTCCCTTAAAACGAGATTTAAAATCCATTTTATTAATAAAATAATTATAATTATAAGATGAAAAAATAATATGGAAATTCATTTATTTTAGATACTTCAATCGTAACTTAAATTAATTATAAAAGGGCATGAACAATACAATTTATTTGAGTCCCAATACAAAAAAACCTATGACTAATAGTTTTTCAATTAAAACAGATCTATATGATCAAAATTTGTAATGTAATTTATTTCTATTTCTGTCAATTGTTCATGGAAATTAATAACTAAACAAATTATTTATTTCAAGATGCGGAAACAAAGATAAATTTTTATAAATGTTTGATACTTTGTAATATTCTACTTTGCTTACAAAAGTACTTCAAATAGTTAATTAATATTTTACAGAAACACAGACATAATGTTGTGAACACTAATCTAGTAGCAATAATAAATCATGGTATTCTACTGAATCAAAATACACATCTAAATAAGGAAGCAATGATAAATTTTAATCAATGATAAAGAAAATTATAACAACAGATCTAGATCCTTTAAAATCCTTAATCTAACGAGTCTAAGAGTAAAATTAAACTTAGTATCAATCTTCAACTAAGTTTACTTCAACATCTAATGTTCCTAACAAACTAAGTGAGAAATTAATGAAAACTAATATATTGAAAGATCAATTGAAAGAAAAGATAACTAAATTAGCTATGTAGAATAGTTACAACTATTAGTATAAATTAATTAAAACAGAATCTGATGCAACTTAATCTCATCCAACACTTGTAAAAGATACTCAAAGTTAGACAATCACATAATAAGAATTAATTTCACATAAACCAAACAGAATCTCTTTTGGATAACAATAATTGTTCAATAATGTGTCAAATGACGATTAGATTATTGAATATTAAAAAAATGGAAAAAATTAAAAAACTTTAATTGAATCTTCCCCTACTTTTCTGCATCCTTAATTAAATGATAACGCTATATTAACATCAGAAACTTAAATTAATTTATAAAATACTAATATTCAGAACCAAGATTAAAGCAATGATCATCATTCTTTAGATTTAGCACCTGATAAATCCAAAAGATTTCAAGGAACGTTTAATAAAGTTAAAAATAGATAATTTAAAAATAAAAAAAAATCTAATAGTGTTTCTGGCAATGTATCTCCATAAAGAAGTGACAGATCAAATCATGAAGTCATTTCGATCGATTAAATTTAGCATAAAAGAAAAATTAGTATTAATAGTGTAAATAGAAGATATAATATATTAACAAATGAATAGTTGGAATGATTAAAACAAATAAAATTTAATAACATATTTAATATGTCTATTTTTACAATGTATTAATCTAGAACAAAATCAGCTCTATCTAAAGTTTAATCATTTGGGGTTGTAACTTCTACTCCTCTTAAAACATGCAAACCACAATACTAGGATAGACAATAATTGTATAACAATCAACTCATGTAAAAAGCATTGATTCAATTGGGCAAAAAGGCAAAAGAAAATAAAATTAACTCTCATACTTATCAAGTTACTGATACTATTGTTTAAGTAAATTATTATCCTTATCAGGCAAATCAAGATACTACATAATATAATACTGGCAAAAAGTAGGTTTTATTTAGAGGAATTGATTCATAAAGTGATCCTACAAGAAATTTACATTACATTTTCTTATAAAACTAATCTCAAGTTGATGATTCATAATGAAGGCCATTTCATGAAAAAATATTATAATAATCAAGAGATATTCAACAAGAAAAATATTATAGAAGTTCTATACGTGTTTATACGTAGGAACCAAAAATTGAAAGTAATTAAAAAATTAAGAAAGAGTGTTTCTGGCTAACCTGTAGCCAAAGATTCATTTTTATCATCTGATTCTAAAATTGATAAGAAAGTATTCGAATTTGTAATACTAATTTAGTTGAGAATATCTTGTCTTCAATAATTAGTATAAATAAATAAAGGTGGAAAGTTATAGAACTTATGGTCATCTATAGGATTTCGAAATACTGTACAGTAATAAATATTATAATTTATCAAATAACCCAATAAGATATTACCAGTCCCATGAAAATGAGAGAAAACAATATTTATAAAAGTGATATGAAAGGTATATTAACTTTAAAAATTATTAATTAAATAAATTTTACAATATATTAGTATTCAAGAACAGACTATAAAGGATGTGATAATATCAAGATGTCAAAAAGGATAAGCATTAAAATGGATGTTCCTAGACTAACATCAGCTTTTGTTTTATTTGATAAATTATATAAATTGTTAAATTTAATTTGCTTTTTTGTTATAATGAGGTTAATAATAACAAAAACATGTTAAAATAGCTTGGATACTAATTATATTGTCAGAATCCTAAGGTTATCTATTCAATTTAAATATAATTCTTAATGATTAGTTTTTCTTGGCTCAAAAGATAAAATGATTTAGAAAAGCAAGAAGTCTAAAGATTTCTTGAGGTTTCAAATTCTTATTGTATAAAAAAGAGTCGTGATGAATTAATATGTAATAAAAGCTTTCAAAGCATAATTTTTGTTTTGAAGCCTATCTATTGAGTTTTATTAGAATTTCATAAGTGCCAATGGTTGAGAATGCATATTTATACCAACGGAATTGTAATCGGAGAAAGACATTAAATTATTGATCTAAGAGAAGGATTGAAAATAAATGATTAGTAAACAAAGAATGAATGAAAGGGATTGTATGAATAAGTTATGAGATTGTATTACATATTGGAATATGATTGTTCATTGCTTTAAAATATAAAGGTTTAGAAATATTATGAAACAAATTAATTATTTTCAATAAGCATAATTCTTTTTAGATAGGTTAAGCTATTATTTATATTAGATTTACAGCAAGTAATGAACGATCAGTTAGATGAAAAGCAACAAAATAATTATAATCAAAAAGAATTAGCAGACATGCATGGAATCGATTTAACCATAAGAAAAGTAATAAAAATGGATGGAAGCGATGAAAAGGCTAGTAATAATATCTAGATTAATATAGTAACCAATTTATAGTGCAACTCTTTTAGAGTTAATGAATAACAAAAATCAATCATTTAGTAAATTAAGCATCTTGCTCGACAGGGCTCTCATATGTATGTAACTATCAATGTATTTCAATTTTTAACAGCTACAATTGTAGTTTTTAATAATCCACTTATATTTTAATTGCTTCCTTTATTATTATTTTAGTACCGGATATTTAGAGCTTCCAACTTAATAAATAAATCAATATAAAACTAGAAGTAATAAACATGCATTAATTGATGAAGTACTCTTAGAGTAAGGACATTTTCAAATACAATTTCAACTTTAATCCATATATACAACATTTATTTTTTCTTATTATTTTTACTTAGTAAGTTTTTACCGCCAAATTCAATCACTCCACTCATATTCACAAAGAAATTACCACAAGGAGGATAATATAGATTAAAAGGAACACAACCATTGTGGGTAAATGCTTTAGAAAGTCTTCTAAGTGTAGTGGTCTAATTGTATTATAAGAGTGATCAAAAATTAGCAGAGTTTATGAAGGAAAAAGTCTTAATAGATTCAAAAAAAGAACTCAAATAAGTTTATATTAAATTATTAGTTTAAGGAAAAGAAACCTGGAAGGAAGAAAAAAATTCCTGATAACGATTCACCTAATTAGGAATAGACAGAATAATAATAATAATAATCAGGGAATAACAATGTTTATTCACTACTTTAATAAGATGTTCTAGATATTCTAATATCCCCATTAAGAAATGATTTTCCATTCGGTATTAAAAATATTTCTAATCTTTAAGAAACTTGGACAACCAAAGAAATAGCAATATTTGAATGTGGACTTTGCAGATATGGTAAATAGTATGAATTTTTATCCCATCTTGTAAGATATCTACTTATTTTAGATTAAAACTAAGACTGCTCAAGATATCATCTAATTCTACTACTTTTGGAAGTTTACAAGCCATTATAAACTATGGAAAATTAATAAAGCATACTATCATCGCAGTAACCTAAACAACTATGTTTGATTTAACTTTGATCTTGCAATATTTATCTTTAAATATTATATAATTTATAAATATTTATTTATTACTATTATGATGTTTAGTTTTAAGATAATACTAGGAAGAAACTTTATTTCTAATTCTTCTTCTGAATTTTTGTATGAGACATTTTTAAATATTATTATTTACCAAATCTAATTAAATCACTTAAAGTCAATTATTTTCTTGAACTTACAATTATTTTTATTAATTTTGAAATTAATTAAGCTTTTTTATTCTATATTTTATCATGATTTTGGAATATTTATTCATATGACTTATTTCTTAATATCATTTGATATTTTTAGATACATAATTAATTATTTAATCTTCTAAAATTGCAATTTTTTATTATTTTTATATGATTCTAAATTTTATATTTAATATGTACATTTTTATCTTCTAATTTCTTCAAAAATAAACTATTACTGTTCAAGTTTAATTAAATTTTATTTTTGAATTTAACAAATTATTCAAACTTGACTTATAAAATAATTTAAAATCTATGTGAATTATTTTTCAATAATTTTATATATATGTTCGGGCTTTGATCCTGATATATATATTTATAATAATCTTTTTAATTATTCTTGCTCTTATAATATTATAATATTTAAATTATAAAAACAGGTCTATAGTCCCAAAGATTACACTTATTCCTTTCACAAAATTCATTTCGCAGCCTTATTAACTTTAATGCTGTTTTATAAAGTAATCATCTTATCCATAAAATAGGTCATGCATTAAAGGCAATGATTATTTAACTTTGTTTCGAAATTTAATAGAAATTTAATGAAGCTGAAAAACTCTGTGATTAAGCATTTACAAGAGATAAAACTAATTTGATAGTTCTTTGCAGAAAAGATGAGAATTAACTTTGTAAAATTAGCTAATCTATTATGCGAACAATTAATTCAAACATCTTGATATCAAAGTAAGGAAAGTACGAAGAATGTAAAAAATATTTGAAGCAAGTCCTTGATGAAAAAAAGAATATATTTTAGCAAATTACTATATGGGTATTATCATAATTAAATAAATAGGAAATGTTTTATCAGTAAATAATAAAGAAGAGAAGGCTATTTCTTATTATGATAAGTGTCTCTAAGGAAAGGATTAGCTAATTTTACTTTTATTATTTAGGTATATCCTTAATTAGTTTGAGAAGGATGGATGAAGCAAGAAATATTTTTGAAAAAGCTCTCTTAGTGAATAATAATTATTCATCTTCACACTTTCATTTTGGTAAGTAATTATCTATTTTCTAGCATTATCATTAGAAGACTTTAAGTAATTTGATTCAGCAATTTTTCACTATAATCAAGCTATAAAAATCAATCCATCATTTTATCAAGCATATGAAAACCGTGGTAACTAAATTGAATATATTTTAAGCTTTTTTTTAAATTCAAATATAAATAAAATCTATTGATAATTTGGTTTATTGTATTATTTGATCTAGATAAATTTATTTTTGTTTCTATTTCTAAGTAAATTCTTTCACATTGAATAGAATAAAAACATTAACACCTATTATCATCAAAAATAGTTATTTTCAAATACCCGGTCCATCCCTTCAATTGAATAACTAATGTGGGATCTCATTTAGTTAACTTAATTAAATATCAAAAACATACTTTAAATTTATTTTTTAAACTTTAAAAATCTTTAGTTGACTCTATCTTTAAGATGATTGTTACTTGTATTTCCTCGTTCTTATATAATTTAAGGAAGTGGGTTTTAAGCCTTGTTTCATAATTTTTATTTTTTCCCTTTTTGAATATGGTTAAAAATTAAAGATTGAAATTAAATTAATTAATTTGTATTTCGTGGAACTGGTCCTAAAACTATTAACATTAATTTTTGTTTTAATTTTTTAAAAGTTCAGTCTACAATATTTTTTTAATATTAAAATGAAGATAAAAAAAGCAGAGGATTATAAAAATAGACTATGGTTGTCATACAAATTGCAATTTATACATAATGAAACTAAAAGGATTAGGAAGATAAATATTTAGAAATAAATAAAATGAAATTAATTATGAATATTAATTAAGTGAAGTTCCTTGGAGATTGAAAGAGCCTGTTATATGATCAATATTTTAACTAAAATGATAATAATGCCTCCAAAATTAGCACCTGAATAATCTAAAAATTTAGAATGGAATTCAAAAAAACAATTAGAAANTTTATCAGTAAATAATAAAGAAGAGAAGGCTATTTCTTATTATGATAAGTGTCTCTAAGGAAAGGATTAGCTAATTTTACTTTTATTATTTAGGTATATCCTTAATTAGTTTGAGAAGGATGGATGAAGCAAGAAATATTTTTGAAAAAGCTCTCTTAGTGAATAATAATTATTCATCTTCACACTTTCATTTTGGTAAGTAATTATCTATTTTCTAGCATTATCATTAGAAGACTTTAAGTAATTTGATTCAGCAATTTTTCACTATAATCAAGCTATAAAAATCAATCCATCATTTTATCAAGCATATGAAAACCGTGGTAACTAAATTGAATATATTTTAAGCTTTTTTTTAAATTCAAATATAAATAAAATCTATTGATAATTTGGTTTATTGTATTATTTGATCTAGATAAATTTATTTTTGTTTCTATTTCTAAGTAAATTCTTTCACATTGAATAGAATAAAAACATTAACACCTATTATCATCAAAAATAGTTATTTTCAAATACCCGGTCCATCCCTTCAATTGAATAACTAATGTGGGATCTCATTTAGTTAACTTAATTAAATATCAAAAACATACTTTAAATTTATTTTTTAAACTTTAAAAATCTTTAGTTGACTCTATCTTTAAGATGATTGTTACTTGTATTTCCTCGTTCTTATATAATTTAAGGAAGTGGGTTTTAAGCCTTGTTTCATAATTTTTATTTTTTCCCTTTTTGAATATGGTTAAAAATTAAAGATTGAAATTAAATTAATTAATTTGTATTTCGTGGAACTGGTCCTAAAACTATTAACATTAATTTTTGTTTTAATTTTTTAAAAGTTCAGTCTACAATATTTTTTTAATATTAAAATGAAGATAAAAAAAGCAGAGGATTATAAAAATAGACTATGGTTGTCATACAAATTGCAATTTATACATAATGAAACTAAAAGGATTAGGAAGATAAATATTTAGAAATAAATAAAATGAAATTAATTATGAATATTAATTAAGTGAAGTTCCTTGGAGATTGAAAGAGCCTGTTATATGATCAATATTTTAACTAAAATGATAATAATGCCTCCAAAATTAGCACCTGAATAATCTAAAAATTTAGAATGGAATTCAAAAAAACAATTAGAAACTTTAATTTAAGAGGAATAATTATCTATTAACAATATCTATTTTAAAAAGAGATTGCCATTTCTTTTCAGATAACTTAGATTTTTAGGAGGAGATTGGATTAAAATTTTTGGAAGAAAGAGATCGAGCCTTAGAAAAGTTGAATAATTACATGAGCAATTGATAATTCTATAGAAAAGAAAATAAGGAAAATATAGCCACTAAAAAAAAAGGGAAATTAAAAATTTATTTATCTGCTTATTAATAGTTTTTAATTAAAAAAGATCGAGCTCTCATTAGATTTGATTCTTATGGAGAGATAAATTTGATTTTGCTATCACTTCTATTTCAGCGCATGGAATAGAGAGAATTGGAAATACAATTGAACCAGTGTCAAATTCAAATGATAAATGATAAAAGATATTTATTATTCATATTTAACCTTTTATAAAGATTTGAATTAATTATATGAAAATCCTCTATATATATTAAAGCCTCTTGAACAGAGAATAAATTCTTATAAAAAAATCTTTCCCTTTGAGCTCATTAGATCTTGAAATAACGAAAAAGCACTCTCAAAATAGAATAAACAATGCCAAAATTATTAAGGTAATTTATAATTTAAAATTGACATAGAATGGCAATAATTCATGCTTAGATTAGATTAAGAAAGAATTACAATTAATGAAGAAGATTTAAAGAGCTTCAGCTGATTGGCATTATTAATTGATAGTTAAAAAAGAAGTTTTTTATCTGGAGATTAAATGATAGAGAACTATATTATTTTTCAATTCTTTAGTATTTTATTAGTTTGATCTGTAATTTGCCCCAACCTAAAAGATTCATACTGAAATATAGAAATTAATTATCAATTGATCCTAAAGAGTGAACATATTTAATGCATGTTTCAAATAGTCGTTAAGCAACTTTGAGTGTTCCAAAACCGACTTTATACTTTTATCAGCTCCTATCAAAAAGATGCAATAAGGCTTGTATAAATAGTTATCAATCTTTTAATTCGTCTGAATCATTTAATATTAGACCATTCACTTGAAAATCTCTCTCTAACATAACTTAAGATTCATGATAGATTTTTTTACAATAGCAGAATACAAATACTCCAATTTTAAATTAAATAAATACTATGATTTTAGTTAAAACAGCCTTAATTCACTAATTAATGATAGAGATATACACATTTTAAAAGAAGTTGCTATTTCATCTTCTCCTCCTTTGAGATGAAGAGATTAACTATGCATTGCTTAAAATTCACCAATTTTAGATATAAATATCCATTTAGGGTTTATTAATAATCAAATAAAAAAAGTTCTAATATTAGCTACGTATTTAAAAAGATTTTTTAAGCAATTGGCACTATATGTTCTAGACAAATTTTTCAATCATAAGAAGTGTCATATTGAAAAACTGTCTAATCTTTCGAATTTAATGTTATTTTTAAGATTCAGAAACATTTTAAATTTCTAATTTTCGAAGTTAGACAATTAATTGGCATATCATTTTACATGAATAAATTGCTTATGATAAGATTAATTGATTTTTTAGTTCTACTTAACTTTGGATTAAGGATTTTTAAACTTATTGCTATTTTTTATCTTTAAGCAACATCATTTAGACATAAAACTTAAGAAAATCTTTTACCATAAAAAATTCTTATAAAAACTTTCTTAGAAATTTTTTCATTTCCAATAATTAATATTTAATTAAATTAATAACTCTTTTGATTAGAGGATCTAAAAACAAGGATATGCCATTTTGCTAAATGTTATAAGTCAAATATTACGCAATTTAGATCGTTGGTAGATTGATCGATGCGATTTGCTAAACAATCACTTTAAAAAATTTCAGATACAAGATATCAAAATGTATTATTGGCAGCAATATGTCAATTTATTTCTTGCATTATATTAATGAATTTTTCGATAAACTCTATGTTAGCTTTTCTGTAGTTAATTTATAATTATATTTTAATGGGAAAGGACTTGAACTCTTGGAACTTGGAACGGATGAAATGCTTAGCACCTCCAATTAAAAAATCCTTACTTATACTGTAGATGACCCAAGAGAAAAAGAAAGTGAAGAGAACCAGCACACTCCTATCACCTTCAAAAATTTTGCTTCACATACAAATCAATAAAAATCCAATCGAGAAGATGATTAAATCAATTAAAAAAAGGCAAATTAAATGCTTCTTAAATAAATGAATGGGAAAATTTTTCATGTAGATAATTATCTCAAATATAAGGATTATTTGATAAAATATTTATTATCAAAGATCTATTTCCATTGGTAGACTTTTAAAAGAGGATTAATTATTTTATTGAAAAAAGCTATAGCTAACTGAAAGAGTAGATAATCACATTTCATAATAGAAACAAGTCAATTTCAATAGATATAACGCCACTTTTACGAAAAAGAATCAACCAAGACATAGTATATGAGATCTAATTATCTATAAAATAGATTGGTACATTAAGTATATTAAAAATAAGGAGCTATAAGTTGCATTAATACTATATTGTATCTCTTGATAGAATAATTACAGAAGATTATATTTAATAATCTTAAAATTAAACTGTATAAAAAGGGGACCTTTGATTTTATAGAGGAAATTGCCAGAAAAATTTAATATAATTACATGCTTATACTGTAGCTGTTCATCTATTTAAATAATAGTTATAGATGATTTATTTATATTTTGATAATAATCTAAATATAACTATGAGGTAGTAATAGGCATAATGACGCTTAAAATGAAATAAAAGATCGATAGGAATGGTGATGCTGAACTTGAAATAGGTTTTGATGAATAAAAATAGAAAAATGTGTTTTTTACAAAAGTAGAAGAGTAAACATATTTAAGGCCTAGCTATATCTGTAATATAATGCTGTTAGGCTTTTGGTTCATATTAATTTGAGATTTGGAGAAGGAGAGGGATATTTTTTGAGTATCTGAAGAACCAAGAAAAATGATCGTACACTCAATTACTTAAATAAAAGAAATGTGTGGACTAATATGAAACCTAAGAGTCTAAGAGAAAAATGAATAAATCAGTATAAAATTGTTGTTTTAGTATGAAAAAAGAAAATTTGGGTCAGGCTATTTTGACTTTATTAAGTCTAAAAATATTTACAAAATATTTGAACGATTTTATTTGAATTTTATCAAGATAAATACATTAAATTTTATTAACCTATAAATTTATAATCATACATATAATAAAGTTATAATCATACATATAATAAAGTTCTGGTGAGAAGCTAAAGGTGAAATACTTCTCAAAGTATGTGAGTCATACAGTATGCAGAAGCGAAAATGATTTAATGAAGTTTAGAAAATATGTCTATTTGCTCATAATTTCTTGGGCTCAAGCCACTCAACAACAATAAATCTGATACTCTCTTTGAAATTTCAAATATCAATGAAGTTTATTTGTTAAGAATTTCTCGATTCCCAAAAAATTTCCTTCTTTAAGGCCTTTATACCGGCGTAGATTTATTATTTAAATTTTTATAAAAATGTCGCGATTGATGAAAATGACAATATCGACATTGCGGGGAGGTGGTTGTGGAAATTAAAAAGTAAGTCAATACTCTTAAAACATGATGTATGATAAGAAATAAATAGCAAATTTCATCACTAGATTCGATTCCTATATTGAAACAATTTGCTCAAAAGCTGCTGTTGCTTTTACTGAATCAGAATCTTAGGAAATAATAATAGCCATCTAATGGTTTGTTTTTTAAGAGGAAAATATTTACATACTCAGCAAGAATGCTTAACAGGTTATGAACACATACGACAAAATAATACAGGGAATTAAAAAATTATTGAAAAGCTGTTTGATCTACATTAAAACAGATTAGTTTAAATGTTTGCATATTTTATAGATTACAACATCTCTATCAAAAATTATATTTAATTTTCATATAATGAATGAAAGTAGATATATGATTTATGAATTACAAAAGGAAGTTATAAGCATTTCTGATGAATTAAAATAATAAATAGAAATAGAGAAGAACGATTTGATTTAAATTTAAATAGAAATTTATCTTTTCTTAACGAAAACTTCTTTTGAGATCGCTCCAAATAATAGTAAAGAAAAGGATGAAATTGCAAAGGGATGTTTAGAAGGTATAGTTAAGTCGATAGTAGAAATGAAACCTAGTGCTTAATTACTTGAATCATTGTTTAATGGAGCTTCCTTACTTTACAATATGTATACAGTTTAGAAAAACAAAAAATAATATTTAGTTTATTTTTAAATAGATATGTTGTAATGGGAGATAATTAGTTGTTTTAAAAAGGATAAAGAATAAAATCTAGAGGTAATAATCAAACAAATTTAATCGATTCATGAAAATATTGTTAAAAATTAAAATAATTGGAGCTATCATTTTTTATGGATATAAATGATTGCGAAAATTTTAATTTATAATCCTTTAATAACAAAGGAAAAACTATTTTAGATGGCTAGCTCATTTTTTGGAGATAATTCAAAGTAAATATGGAAGGAATATCAGAACAAAGGATTGTTAATTTAGCTGAATAAAAACAGTGATTAAGCTATAATTTTACTTAATTAACTATAAAATAAGGAATTATTTTAACTTGAAAGACTAATATTAGAAGATTGTTTCAAAGAATGGGAAAACTTTATATTGCTTAAAGACTATTTATTGAATGAATATAATTCCAATATCCATTTTACATTGCGCTCTTATTTATAAAGCAAACTTGAAGTAGAAAGCTTAGATCCTTAATAAAATGAAGATAATTTGGCAGTAAGCCAAATCTAAAAATATTTTGATTTTCTTATTTCTAAAAAATTACTAGATTTAATTAAACAAAATTATGAGAAATTAGGAATTGTTATTAAAAGTTATCAATATTTGAAGAAAAAAGACATATAGTATAATGAAGAGATAAAACTAAATATGTAGAATTCAGAAATAAAAAAGATTATTTTCAACTTCAAATAATATTTTCTAAATACTCAAAATATATTAAAATTTATAAGGCTTAATTCAAGGAAATAAAATAGTTAGGTCTAATAACCTTCATAGTAAAATGAGTTAAAAGATATTCAAAAACTTAAATATTAGTTGAAAGTATTAGAATAAATATTATCATGGTACCTTTAAGACTTTAAAGATAAGGTGGATGAATAATAAATTTAATAAATTCAAAATAGTTGGACTAAATAGAGATAAAAGATTGATAAAGGATTAAATTAACTTAAATTGGGCTCATTGCTTGATGATTTGAAAAAGAAGATACCTATATCTCTAGATGAAAAAAGCGCTTCAAGTTTGATTCAGGCTATTGCAAACTCTTGGAAAAAATTAGAAGAGTTGCAAAATTCTTCACTTGAAAAAAATAATAACATAATTTAATTTTTTGAGAACTAAATGAATAATCTTTATTTAGATTATGAAAATATTAACAAAAAACTTGATTAATATAACAAGGATTCCATTTTATTTCTTTAGAATATTATTCAAAACAAGTATTAAATTGAAAAAGCTGAAAATTCTGAAGGATTATTGGAAAGTTTACAAAAATTAAAGATAAAACATTTAAAAATACATTTAAAATTATAAACTCTCAAGTAGTTTTTCTTAGATATATTACCATATACAAAGTCAGGAGAATTAAAAAATCTTTAAAAAATTATAAATTTCAATGAGTTCCTACTTTCAGTAATTAAAGATTACCCAAAAAAAATAGTTTGCTGTAATAGTGATACTGAAAATTTTATTGCCTCTAAATTAACAAACATAGAATTCATCTAATAAGACTATGAAAATAAGTTATCAAAGTAGAAAGGATTAATAGAATATCTTCAATTTCTTTTATTGATAGAAAAATAAACGATTTCTTCGGAAGAAATTGATTTAAGTTTAATTGAGAAGGAATTAGGAGAATTATTCATCTAGGAATCTCCTATCTAAACTGTGGAAAAACTTTTTGAAGATCTGTCTATTGAAGAACTATTGAAAAATGTCAAAGAAGAAAAAATTAATTCCTCTGAAGTGAGATAGCATTAGGAAAAATATGAAAATTTTTTGTCTAACTTGAGGAAAATCAGCAAAAATGAAAATTTTGATGAGAATAAAGTTAAGGAATTAATCAACCAAACAGAAATGATCATTAAAACACTGAAATGTTTTGGAAGGAAAGAGTAGAAAATGTTTAAAATGCTTATGAAAGAAGAGCTGGAAATGTTATAAAAATTAATAATTAAATATCAAGAAGAAATAAAGGCCAGGAATGAAGCAGCCAATACATAAAGTAATTAAAATGAAATTTAATTTTCCATATAAAAGAATGAATAAGAAGAAAAAGAATAAGTTTTAGAAAATCATGAATAGACTGGGGTCAAATAACATGGGGAATTTAATTTTTACTCTAATGAAAACTATAATGCTTACTTAAAATGTATGATTAAGGTGATAAAATTATAAAATTCTCAAATAAAAGAAAAGGAAGATCTTTTAAATAAATTACATGAAGAAATTTTTAGTAGCTCCAACGATCTAAATTAAATCGAAAGATTCTAAGAAGATAAAAAAAAAGAATACAAAGACTTGTTCGAAGATAAAGTTAAAGAATTAATTAAGAACTTTGTTTAATTAGCCGATTATCAAGATTTGTAATAAAAATAATTAAAGGGAGAAAAGGAAGAAAAATTTGAATAATATTTGGAAAAAATTTAATATATTATAACATAATCAGAAAAAAATAATAAAGAAACAAAAACATAAAATATTACCTCTTTTCTCAATTTGTTAAAGTCATATCTTTAAGAAAAATTAGCAGAATCTATTTCTTTTCCCAATACCCTAATCGAATAAGAAGTTCTGATCAAATAAATTCAAAAACTATATTAATATGATAATTCAGAGGAAGAATAAGATGAAAATTCTAATCAACAATTAGACTTATTAGATACTTTAAAACAAAAGTTTAAAGATTTTAGAAACAACGAGGAATGGAAAATTAAATAGGGTTTAGTGTTTGCTATAATTTAGATTTCATCTAATTGCTTCAATGATACAATTCTATCATACTGTTAGAAAACTTTGATCTAATTGTGGGTAAAGGAAAAAGATTATAGAGTTCGAAATCTTCTAAAAAATGAAAAATTAATCAATATGTAAATGCAAATATTGAAGAGGGATTGGCAAACTTAGCACGATAGAATTGCAGGTGAGATGTAATAAATGTTGGATAAAATTGAGATATTGCAAGAATAAATTTCCCATGAGGCTAATCTGAACGCACGTGATTTACAGCTTAAGGAAATGGATAAAACATCTTCGTAATTAGATGAATACATTGAAAATATTACTGAAATGGGTTAATAACTTAGATTGATAACTGACTTTGTTAATCATATCAGAAAAGGGTTATTAAGAATTGAGGGAAAAATTAATGAAATGAAAGTATAACTCAACAGTATGGGAAATGATGTTAAATTTTTGAGAGGAAAATCTGTTGAATAGCTACTTGAAATTAGAAAATGGAAAGTATTGAAAGAAGCAGCCTAGAGAAATGTTAAGTCCATCTATGTGGCTCTAAAAACTTAAGAAAAAGGACAAAAGGATCCAAGTAATTTGATGAATTTAGAAAATTTTGATGATAAGGTAGGAGAAGTAAATGAGTTTTTATAGTAAGAGAAAACAGTTATGCTAATACATGGAATAGCTGGATCAGGTAAAAGTACAACAGCTAAGAAAATAGAAGAATTTATCTGGACATTACATAATACTAATACAAAAATCGGCAAATAAGTACTCATACCTATTTATATATCATTACCTTCTTTGAAAAATCCAGTTTTTTAAGCAGTTGAGGAAACACTTCGTCAAGATGATTATGGTTTTGATGATCTCTAAATTAAAGAATGTAAAGAAAAGTTGGAAAAGAAGGAATTCCGATTTTTATTTATCATGGACAGTTATGATGAGATGAAATTAGAAAATATTTCGAAAAATTTATACTTTCATAATAAACTTTATTAAAATTGGTTTGATCCACTTGTTATTGTTACCACAAGAAGTGAAATCTTTACAAATAATGATTATTAGGATT